ACAATAAGGTGAACAGAAGAGGCAGTGGATTTAACCTTAATGATATATATGTCTACAATTAATGGACTTGCATATTGGAGTAGCACAACGTCATGAATGGGATGTTAATGTTAGTCGCAAGATATTGTCCACACAATGCTGACTGATGTGCATGGCTACGTTATACTGAGGTACGCAATCCCTTGTTAAGGTGGTATTTGATTATATAACGGGTGGGCAGACGGGACGCATCAGGTGGAAGAGCTTGCGGTGATTGCCTACTGCTCCCGCCTCCTCCATTTTTTGAATCCGACTGATCCACCGGGCCTCCTTGCCAGCACGTACGCTCCCATTTACTTAACACATATTAGCTGGGGTGTGATGACATGGTGTTGTCAACCAGGCGGTAGCCTTTCCACCTTAAGCGGGTTCATCGACCTCTCCGCTATCCCTTGAGTAGTGCGGTGAACATGGATAGGGCCACAAGTGGATGCTCTTGCGACGTGCATGGCGGCCGAGATCCCATTCCACTGAACCTCATTGTCAGTTGGGAAACACAGCGACAATGCCGTATGCAGTGCGTTTTGATGGGCTTGACTGTCACATCCGAATAATACCACGTGGCCCACCAAATGCGCTGCCCAGCTAAGCCGCCATGGAATCCACATACGACGGAGGTATTGGAAGCATTCAGCGCTGCGCAGGGATAGGCCTTCCATAATCCGATGATAATGCGCGCAATCGTACGTGTACAACAACGACCGCAGCATTTTGAACAGAGCCCTCTTATCTTCCATGTTACAGAACGAAAGGTGTGCACAACGCCGCTGCATGTCCCGCATAATGTGTACCCGGCAAAATACAATGTTCGCAGTGGGGTACGCATTCCGAAACGCGTTCACTTGTGCGGTGCACTTGTCCATCACCAAAGTCCGAGCACCGGCAACCGCGGCAGCCAATTCCAACATACCTCTTACTGCCTCTTCGTAAGCAACCTCCGTCTCATTCGGCAACAGCGCATAATAAAACTCATACCGAGGCCGCTAACGTCCACAAACATGCTGTGCCATAGGATGTAGCCACCGTAATTGATTTGATATGTCGAGTCCGCCAAAATTACCTCCCCTTATTGGCCCACCAAATCCAGCATGCGCGAAGGGACGAAAAACAGGTACCGAATCTCATTCCCCTCATGCATAATTTTAACCTGACCATTTCTTTGCAACAGCTGTGTTACCTCCTCCACCTCAGTGACATAAGTGTAACCATGACGCCGCCGTATGGTATACTAATCCCGCCTTGTTAAACGAATGTTATATTGTTGCCGCGCAAATGCACGCATCTACTGGGTCCGACGAAAGGTTTACATTAAGTTCAGCACCATGCGTTCCTGATCTCCTGTTAGCCTCCGATTTCTCACATACAGCCAGGGCTTCCGAAAGTGAAAACTGTGCGAATGCTGCAGAAACGCATTCCCAATCTCGTAACATTCGCCCTTAAATGTCACAGTAAAACGAGCAGGGCGATCGTAACAGTGGTACCTATACCATTCTTCTCATCATGCAAATACCATGCACTTACCGCTTTCCAGTAACATTGCTGCGCTTTCCGTGCACACGTACAAACAAAATATACCGGTATGGGCATCCTTCCGGTAGCACCTGTCCGGTCTCCCCCTGGTACTCCTTCGCAGTTACAACCTTCCGACGAACAAACGATATTGCCGTTTCACTCTGAAACACTTTCAGATCCTCCTTCACCGATGCGAAGTCCAGATAAGGACCCTTAAGCATACGTCGGAATACAAGCGAGTCGTCCACCATGGCTGCTACGCGTGAAGCGGGAAAATGAATAACCGTAACGCATTAAAACCCCATAGTATGTTCATTACTAATTGAGGTATTAGCATTTCAACAAGCATCCTACATTATTGATAAACATTACTATGGGTTCAATGGCCCAAAATTTACCTCCTACCACCTACAACCGTGTGTACCGGAACCACACTGTCGAAAGAACATGATTTCCAAGTGGCGGATAGGACGCTCCGCTTGTTTAGTCTGCCATGTGTGGGGTGGCGCAAGGCTCGCGGTGGACAGAAGTTGACTTGGCAGCGGCAAATGAAGTCGCTGACTACCAAACTGGGTACCGTTGGTCCGTGTCGCCTTCCGGGTTGGAGTCCACGTGACTCGCCTTGTGCTTGGCTCGAGACTTTACAGGAGATGGCTCGCCGTAGGCACCAGTGGCACGTCTACCGCCGTCTCCTAATCGGGTTGCCTGTTTAAAGTGAGTTTGGTGCTGAGTTATCTGCGGAGTAATGGCTGATTATGACGCGGGGCAGTGAAAGCCGCAAGGGAGCTGTCTCGCCGATGCCGTCTTATCTTGGCACGATAGTCAGCTGTTTGTGACGGTATGTTGTCTACACAAGGTGTAGGCGTCTTGACTCTGAATGTTTGCTTAGGACATTAAGGTTTTCAGGTAAGTCCTCCTTGCCTCCCTCTTATTCTCTGTTTCATAGGTCCTCATGGTTGTATGGCAGCGAAGCATCAGTTCCAATGGCTGATGTACTGCTGTTGATGATGAACCAGACCTTCCGTTAGCGGATAGGTTAAAGTTAAGGGAATCCATCACAGATCCAAAAGCCTGGCGTGCAGCTGGTGAGCAAAGTCTCCGATTGGTGTTTTTTGAGATGGTCAGCCGGCGGTCCTTTTCCGCCCTGCCAGAACCTATTCTACTTGCGCACGACTCAGGGCTGGTCGTGCCGAATTCCTCCAAGTAGTACTTAGTAACGTGCGTAGCTTGAGGAACAAAATGTGCGAGGTGGGTCTGCTCGTAGACAAATCTCGTTCAGACATACCTGCTTTCCCTGAAACCTGGCTGTCTGAGGAAATCACAGATGGCGAAGTATATCTGCCTGGTTACGTACTGTTCCGCGCTGACCGCTCCATTGGCCCTCACGGGGTAATGTAGTTGTTTATGTGAGTTATCACATCGACATATTGGGGACTAGCGCTTTTCAGTCTCTCGACAAAACTATCTTGATTTACGCTTCCTCGATTCAAGTTACGGTCGTGTTAGTGTATAGGAGCCGTATGAGCACCACCATTGGAATCATTGAGTTTATACGCACGCAATCCGCTAACAAGTGTCTGGTGCTTGGAGACTTCAACCTCCCAGAGGTTTGTTGGGATGATCTATCTTGCAGTTCGGCTCTAGGATCGTTCGGTACAGAACTGTTGGACTTAACGCTGCAGGTACCGCTACACCAGTTCGTGGACCTCCCCACTAGATACGTGAGCAATCAGCAGCCGTCCATCCTAGATCTTGTTTTTCCTGAGTCACTTGATTTTGTAAATGTCATAGCTTACGACTCGCCTCTTTTCACCAGCGATCACGTTTGCTTGTCTTTCCAATGTACACTTATCAGTCCTTGCCAAGCTACTACCAGTTGGTATCCGGATATTTGGGCCGCGGACTTCCAAGCGATGCGGGATAAAGCTAGGTCATCGCCTTGTGTGGGATCTGAGACCGACACTGTTCACATAGCCTGGTAAAAACTTAAGGCTCACCTCGTCGACATTTCTGCACCTCACATCCCGTGGATAGATTCCGCGGGAAAGGGCCTGCTAAAAAAGTGGTCTAGATGCTGGCGAGCGTACCGAACAGCACGTGTAGCGCCCAAAAAGATAACTCTTATCTTTCATGTACAATTTACTTGTTGACCGATTGTACATTATTCCTTCTTGTTTTAATCGTCCTTACAACCGGCTACACACAACTGCCTTGTAAGTTCCCGCGCTCACGTGTTCGCTCTCGTCTCGCTTCTTCCGTCCGCTTCTTGTTGTAGCCCATCGAATACAGTCCGCTGTGTCCGACTCCAATTGCCTTCTGATATCCGCGCTTAATTCCGCGCATCGTCTCGGACTGGTATTAACTAGTCCTACAAATTGGTGACCCCGATTCGCACACGCGAATTCAACCCAAGCAGCAAAACCAATCACTGCATTTCTGTCGAGGCTTTCTACGCCAAAGATAAATGGATTCCGCCTCACTCGTTCTTTTAGTTCTCAGGAAATACCGATCATACAGCCCCGAAGAACCCTTAGAAGTACGAGAAGTAGCAATCAGACGACTCCACAAGCCGAACTACGTATCGAGCTTGAGCGCGTACCGGTTCACAACCTCCCTGTTCTTCGTTCGGACACGGCCGATTCATCCGCTTGTAGTTCACTTGAGAGCTCTCCCACTGAGATAACTACAATGGCCAGCTTTTTGTTATCCTGGTTTTCACCACGCCGCTTCAATTTGACTGGTAATGATCGAGCTGCAAAATTGAAGCGGCTCAACACGTGAAAAATCGAGTATGATCTGCAGGAGCGGAATCAATCTATCGATCCAGAATCGTCTCAGTTGTCCTCGAAGTCTCTTCTGGACCAGTCGATTGTTGGTGATCCCCTGGAAAAACTTCTTGGTTTAGGCGGCCAAACGGAAGTAAAGCCATTTGAGGACTGTTTTGGCGCTGGCACGCTAAGTGCTATTGTAAAATTTGGTGAGGGAGTTTATGGTGAAGTCTTTCAGTCCCCAAAGGGGCATCTGATAAAAATTTTCCCTGTCGATGGGGATGCGCCGGTTAATGGTGAGAGGCCGATGACTTTTGCTGACGTTTACCCGAAAGTAAGGACGCTCAAAGGAGGCATGTAAGAATGGAGTCTAACACATAGAATAAACCGTATTTGAATCTGAAACTTCTCGGTGAGTATGTCTCCCGTGAACGTACTTGCGACACTATTTCCTCTGTGTCTATATTGGGTAAACGGGTCGTCCGACAATACGCAAGCGAATTTATTCTATCTGATGACACCCAAGTGGCTGTCAGTCGTCACGAATGCATACAACAACCAGATGGCGAGGAGGAAGTTACTCTGTGTTTATCAATAGGCGTCCCAACGAGTACTCTACATCTGACGAATACACAAGCCCGAGTCTAAAAGCAGGGGAGCGATTCTGGAGCAGTGACCAGCATGTCTGACGCAAGTTCCGAAGAACTGTACACTGGATCATTCTTGGACACCGATTCGGAGCATGATGCTGCGAAGAAAACAGATAATCACGCGAAGGGTACATTCACCACACAAAAGCCCAGAAAGAAAGGTGACCGTGACCGGACCCTCCACAACTACACCCACTCTCCAAATGGCCTTCGGATAGAGGATTATATGTACGATGATCCATTGGCAGCCAGTATACTCACAACCGACTCAAGTACGAACGCCGATCTCCTCAGACAATTGGAGACTGGATGCTGACTAGTGCCAGCATTATATCGTATGGAGAGAATCCAGCGGAGACGCAATCGCGAAACCATCGTTAATTTGCACAAGGACCCAACCGTTCGATCGATCGGACTTAGCCGGGCTCAAAGCGAGACGGATTCCATTGCCACGGCGTTTACAGATCTAAAGGAGAACGAAGAGGAGGGTAACCCACCGAACGTTAGCACCTAAACATGAACTCTGCTAGGGGTGTAAACTAAAACCCGGTAGAAAACCACAAGATCGCCTCCAGCATCGCGTCAGTAGAAAGTGTGGGACAAACTTCATCACCACGTGAAATCCTGCAGGGGACAGAATAGTTCTACCGCCTTCAGATGAGACGCACACACACGCAGTGTCTTACCCAGTCCAAGCCGTCGACAGCATCCCACTACGAAACATAAATGTGCCCCAATAGTGACTAATCTGTTACCTTTCATCATTGTTTTCTAAAACCGATATCAGATACTCTTAGATGGAAAAAAATTGAATTCGCGCGCGCGAATCGGGGTCACCAATTTGTTGGACTAGTTAATACTAGTCCGAGACGATGCGCGGAATTAAGCGCGGATATCAGAAGGCAATTGGAGTCGGACACAGCGGACTGTAATCGATGGGCTGCAACAAGAAGCGGACGGAAGAAGCGAGATGAGAGCGAACACGTGAGCGCGGGAACTTACAAGGCAGTTGTGTGTAGCCGGTTGTAAGGACGATTAAAACAAGAAGGAATAATGTACAATCGGTCAACAAGTAAATTGTACATGAAAGATAAGAGTTATCTATTTGGGCGCTACACACGTCTGAGAGGTATCGGTTGGTTCGAAATGAGATTTTTAGTTGAATTAACGTGGAAAACAGTGTTTGAATAAACACTTGAAACGAAATTTGACTATTGTCAAATTTCCTCTGATCCAAGATATCTTGGATCGATTAAAGCGGTTCTGGTCAAAGCGTCTTTGGCGCTTACTGGTAATTTTTCCAGTTTTTCCAGTTTTAACCCCGTTTTGCACCCAGTTTTTTGCCTTTTTATTGTGGTCGTTTAACTATTGCATACGTGTTATAATCACTCTGTTTTCCACTATGTCGGTCTCGCAATGCACCGAGGCTGTTGTTCCTGATGGCTCGGATTCTGAGGTTATCGCACTTTGTGGCGGACCAAGCTGCAATGTACCAGTAACTGACGATTCAGGCGGTATGCAATGCGATGTCTGCAACCGATGGTACCATCAGCTTTGTACGGAGCTAAATACCGAGCAGTACGCAGCGCTGGCCTCTAGCGAAAAGTTGCTGTTCAGTTGTGCCAATTGCTGCAGCCGCCGGCAAGGCCGCACAGCCTTTCGTACGAGAGATGAATCTCTTGATACCCGGCTGCGAAATGTAGAGCGTTCGTTCTCGATGCTCTCTGATCTTCGCTATAAGATTGATCTGCTTATGACGACGCTTCCGGTCTCCAACAAAGCAGATTTGATCGCTTACACTGATGATCAGCTTGTGGCACCTATCATTATGTCACCGGTCCAGATGGCTACCGACCACCAAAATGAAGCAGCTTCGGACGTCGTATCTATACCTACGCTGATCGACGCCGAATTGCTGGTTCAAGGGTCACTTCGAGTTAAGCGAAGAAGAGCCAGGAAACCTCGTAAGCTCTCTGCTAAACAAGAAGTTGTCTCGGCACCGGAAACAAGCCAAGTGTCGTTACTTGGCAAACCGTCTGACGGTTGTGCGAAGGCGAAGATCACAACACGCACTACTTATCAGCCGAAGTTGCCGGAAATCTTGGTTCTCACCGAGAAGACATATTCTGAAGGTGTGCTTGATTCTGCTCAAAGCGAAAAAGCCTCACGGGACCCTACTCCTGTTATCAAGAAGAAAAAGCAGACAAAATCTGCTATAAAGCCTTCCGGTGAAATCGATGACCCTAACAAAAGTAAGACATCGACAATGGAGCGAAAAACATACGCTGCCGTTGCTACATCATCGGAGGGGCTAAAGACAGTTCCATCACCAGTAGTGAAGCCACCTGCTCCGAGTGCCGAATCAAAGACCCGTGGGGTTAATACACCCCGTCGTGGCGATTCTTTCACGGATAGTAGCGTTATATTCCGTAACGCGGCTGAATCTACTGCTGTCCTTCCCGCTGATCGCATGTTGGACGACCTTCAATGGTTTAAAATGTGCGTAACGAAGCTTCTTCCGCCTGGTTTTCCAGGCGTTACTGTCAGGAAGCTGATTAGACTGGGGAACGTCCCAGTTAACGTACCAAACCCGCGACCGCGGCTACTTCGTGTGGTACTCTCTACCCCGGAGGAACGCAATGCTCTCATGCGGTTTGCGTTTAAGCTGAAAGGTACAAATATTAGCGTTCAGCCGGACCTTCCGCTAGCCGATAGGCTGAAGCTAAGGGAGGCCATCAAGGACCTCAAAAGCAGGCGAGCGGCCGGTGAACAAGGTCTCCGGTTAGTGGGTTTTCGGGTGGTCAGCCGGCGGTCCTTTTCCGCCCTACCAGTGCCAGTACTGGTAGCGCACGACCCAGGTCTGGATCTAACGAAAAACTTCAGATAGTGCTAAGTAATGTGCGCAGCCTAAGGAATAAGGTGTACGAGTTAGGTCTGCTTGTAGATGGGTCTCATCCCGATATACTCGCATTCACTGAAACGTGGCTGTCTCAGGACATCACGGATGGTGAAGTACATCTATCTGGCTACGCACTATTTAGATGCGATCGCTCTGCTGGCCGACAGGGAGGGGGCGTCGCTCTTTATGTGAGCTGTAAACTTGACGTTTTGAAGACTTGCTTATTTCAGTCGGCAGACAAAACTGTTGAAGCTCTATCGGCTGTTATTAGCACATCCTCGGCTCAGGTTACAGTTGTAATTGTGTATAGAAGCCCTGGGAGCGTATCCAAAGAGGTACTTGAATTCATTCGCTCCCAGTCCGCAAATAAGTGTTTGGTGATGGGCGACTTCAACCTCCCAGAGATTTGCTGGGCAGATCTTTCTTGCGACTCAGCGTCAGGCACATTCGGCGCTGATCTGCTTGAACTTACGCTCCAAGTATCTTTGCACCAGTTCATTGACCTCCCCACTAGGTACATGGACGCCCAAGTACCGTCTATCTTAGACCTTGTATTCGCTAAGTCACTCGATTTTGTTGATGACATTACTTACGGACCTCCACTGGGTTCCAGTGATCATGTTTGTTTGCTCTTCAATTGTACTCTGTCTAGACGCTACCAGAGTACTGTTGAGTCTCGCCCGAACATATGGCAAGCAGACTATCAATCAATGAGAGCCAAGGCTTCTGGTTTCCATTGTGAGATCTCAGACGACGATACTGTCCAGGTTGCCTGGGATAAATTTAAGTCCTACCTCACAGAGGTCTCTGCTCCCTTCATACCAGTCACAAGGAGAAAGGAGGCCCGAGCACAGCCGCCCTGGATAGATCCCACTGGCAGGCATCTGCTCACAAAGAGGTCTAGATGTTGGCGGACTTACCGAGACGCTCCGTCCACCGATACTTATGACAGGTACCGTAAAGCTAGAAATAGGTGTAAGCAACACCTAAGGGATGCTCGGCTCAATTTTGAAAAAGGGTTAGCGGACGATGCTTCAGAGAATCCAAAAAGATTCTTCGCTTATGTCAAAAGGCGCTGCGCTTCGAACATGTCAATTCCAGTGTTGATGCGTGATGACGGTACTCATGCGCATACGGATTATGACAAGGCCTGCGTACTCAGTGGGCAATATGCGGCAGCGTTTGTAAGGGAAACCTCTTTGACAGGCGTTGAGCTGGTTTGCAGGACCCCAGAGGGTTCAGAACTATCTGAATTTATTGTAGCGGAGACTGCAGTTCGTAGGCTGTTACAAGGGCTGAACCCTTCTAAGGCCTCTGGGCCTGATTTAATTCACCCGAAACTGTTGCATGAGTTGGCTGCGGAACTAAGTGGACCGCTCGCTATTGTGTTTCAGAAATCGCTTGACAGTTGTGCATTGCCTTCCGAATGGAAGGAAGCTGTCATCTGTCCCATCTTTAAACATGGGGACAGGGGTCTGCCTGCAAATTACAGGCCAGTTAGTCTGACGAGTGTAGTAGTCAAACTCCTCGAGAAACTGGTGAGAGATTCATTGGAGAGTCATCTGAGTAGATTTAATCTACTTAGCAATGTACAACACGGATTCCGGAAGGGATTTTCGTGTCTGACGAATCTGTTGGTGGCTCGCGAAAATTGGGCGGATGCAGTGGATAACGGCCACACACTGGACGTGCTTTTCGTCGACTTTTCGAAGGCATTTGACAAGGTACCCCATTTGAGGCTCGCGCAAAAGCTGTCCTCCTACGGGGTATCTGGCCGCGCCCTTCATTGGGTGACTGCCTTCTTGGAGGGTAGAGAACAGTGTGTACGGGTAGGCCGGGGTCTATCATTTAGGCAGTCTGTCCTCAGCGGCGTGCCGCAGGGCTCGGTCCTTGGACCGCTGTTGTTCTCTATCTATGTGAATGACCTACCCACGGAGCTTGAGGTACCATCGCTGCTATTTGCTGATGACCTGAAGCTGTGGAACATTGTTGATGTTCCTGGGGGTTCCGAAGCTATTCAGCGAGCATTGGATAAGCTTTGGGACTGGTCTACTTTATGGTTACTGCCCATAAATCAGGCAAAGTGCTCCGTTCTTCGAATTGGAGGAGGTTGTCCTCCTGCGAAGTACTTGGTCGGTGGGGTCGAACTCCCCCGTGTATCTAGCCAGGTTGACCTAGGCGTCGTACACTCTTCGGCGTTACACTCCGGCGACAACTGGAAGAAGGCCGCAAGCAGAGGTTTCCGCATGTTGTGGTTAATCCGACGTTCTTTCGGAGTCTTGACGGGCGGCATCTTTACGAGGCTGTTCTCGGCTTTCGTTCGCCCTCATCTGGAATACTGCGTCCAGGCTTGTCCGCCCTGCCTCGTCCGGGACAAAATGGAGCTGGAGAGGGTTTTACGAGTGGGTACTAGGTTA